CCGGTGGCCAACCAACCAACCATATACCAACATTGGCCCAACAAACCTTTGCTATCTGGGGTGAAGCCCATTTCTGGTGTCCCCTGCCTTGATATTGTTGGAATATTGCTCAAAGCGGCGTAATACCAAACTCGCTGACTCCACTTCGAATGTTGGCGTTGCATAAGAGTCTGTAAATAATCGAGTCTGGGCCAGATAATCCAGTGACTAACAGTATAAGCACCGATCCACGCAAATGGGACACGATGACATGTGTCAACCAAGTCAGCGAGCCTAAATAAAACCGCTCCCGTTAGTCAGGTCTTACGATAAACACGGGCGGCTGAATATCAATTCAAACCCGGATCTTCACGGGTACTGATTTAATGTCATTGCCTCCCGACGGCATACATCCTGACTTATTCAGCCTTGTCTAGACTTTATAACATATCGGTCTCTTTGGTACAGCCGGAATGTGGCTTACAATGGCGTTAAACAAATTGAAACAAACACGATACTATGGAATCCGAGAAGGGACATTGTCGCGTTGTCGCATTGTCGCCCTTTGGAGGAAAAGAAAAATATTATTCAAAACGCGACATGCGACGTCGCGACAATGCGACAAATGGCCGAAATGTCGCGTTGTTGCATTGTCGCGCTTTGGTTAATTTTGTATTTGAGAGGACGAGAACGCGACAATGCGACAACGCGATAATGTCCCTTCCAGGATTCCATACGATACCTACCATGAACATTTCATATATCTACAATAGACTACATCTTCGATAATCTCCAGGGTATACGTTACCATCACTCTCCACTATACCCTGGCTGCATCCACGGTTTGGCCCGATGATTTTATTATCTCCCTTTGCTGGCTCCGCATTCTCACAATCAGCTAAGCCGCCGTTACATCCGAGCTTGCCAGTGTCAACAAAGATAGCGGTCGCAGTCGCGAAGGTTTGTTCGCAGTGCCACTCAGATTTGTGAGGAAAGAATACAAATTGACAGATCTGAACTTTTCAAAAAATATATAAAAGAACTCCTTCTACCTCTGCATCAATTGTGTTGCCAAGTTTAAACGGTTAGATAATTTAAGAAGCGAAATTGAGTTGTGATTGGTTCGCTCAACTTCCCAGCGTAGACACCTGATTGGATAAAAAGCCAGCAAAGGGAGGTAATGAAATCATCGGGCCAAGCCGTGGATGCATCCGAGGGTATGGTGGAGATTGATCGTAACGTATACCCTGGAGATTATCGAGGATGAATAGACTAGTACTGTATGTTTCTCATCTAACACCCCGGTCGCGCCGGGCTGTCAAAAACATTCGCAAAAGTTGTGCGACCGAAGACAGTCGCAAGAGGTCTCAAATGTGGTCGCAATGAGATCGCATAGGTCGCAATGCACTCTCAATTCGCTCGCATTGATCGTAACAGACTCCCCATTCGGTTGCATCAATGATCACAAGCACATTCACAGCGATCGCCGATGATCATAACGATCGCCACAGGACTCTTACAACACTCTCAAGGTGGTCGGAAGTTGCGGGGTCGCAACTGGGTCGTAGCACACTCGCATATGAACTCGTAAACTAGAAGTGACATAATTGAGACCCGGTTGAGATCTATGAGACCAATGAGAGCGGTCTCATAATCAGGTCGCAATAAAACTGTGGAATTTTCTGTTATCAGTCGCAATTCAGTCGAAAATGATTTTGGAGTAACCGCAAGTGGCGATCAAAGGAACGACTCACCGCGACCCTCTGCATGTTCACGATCGTAACACGATCGTAGCGTGATCGCAGTTCGGTGTAACACTACCCTAAGCGGAGTACAAGCTTTGAATTATTGCTCTTGTACAGTTATTACACTTGTACGTACAGAACAAACAACAACGTACTACACCAGCCTTTGGGGTCTGTCAAATTAAAAAAATTGGAACAACTAAACTCGCTCACTATAACGTTCAGAATTCTTTATTAACGTTATCAAAAGTTCTTTTGAGGGTTAGACTTTGTTCTTTCAACACTTCCATGCTGTGGACTGATGACAATCTAAATATATCGATGAGTTTACACGGTGCCCAACACTCCATATTTCGGAAGAGATTTTCTGATATTTTAATATTTGAACAGGGGAATTATGTGACGAAAGAGGCTTTAGCAAGGAGGCGTGTGCAAATAAGAACATTATGCGGAAAATTTGTATGTTATTAGGTTTTCCCTTGAAGTAATAATAATAATAATGTGTCCATTTATATAGCGCCAAACTCCACACAAGGTATGCTCATAGCTCTAACAATCAAGACACAGCACATTATTACCCCGGATAACCCAAGCTGCCTGTTAGGCGCTAGAAGGTTATAGTCATATGACTTTTTCCACCGGGTACCCATTTTCCTGCTGGGTGAACAGCGACAATTTTGAACAAACTCACTTGCCTAAGGTGAGACCACTTGTGTCACATGTGCTTCGTTGTGGGGCAGGACTCAAGTCATAGAAACTCTCAGGAGTCAAGCTGCCAAACACGGTCACCCATCCAAGGGGTTAACTTCACCGATTTGTGACCTGAGCTTTGAGCACAGGCCCACGTGCCACCACCACGTGCAACATAGACCTTCTACAATCATATTGGAGAATCCTCTGTGCTTATGTCGCAAGACCAAGCGGTCTACATGTACAAGAAACAGTACAGTCACTCTCTTAACATTCGTATAGAACTTTGAGTGAGTGAGTGAATGAGTTTAGTTTTACGCCGCAATATTCCAGCTATATGGTAGCGTATAGTACTTTGAGTGAGTGAGTTTAGTTTTACGCCGCAATATTCCAGCTATATGGCAGCGTATTGTACTTTGAGTGAGTGAGTGAGTGAGTGAGTGAGTGAGTGAGTTTAGTTTTACGCCGCAATATTCCAGCTACATGGCAGCGTATAATACTTTGAAATGTGATAATTTCAGAAGACGCAAAAGATACCTTAGCTGTGACGTATTTCCTATTGTGGAAGGGTAATACATAGATAATGATGGAAACGTATAAGGGAACACATCAAAGAACAAATGCTCTATTTATTTCCAGACTTTCATCCATATCCGTGAAGATCCGGGTTGGAATTGATGGTCAGTAATCCATGCTTGTCGTAAGAGGCGACTAATGGGATCGGTTGGTCAGGCTCGCTGACTTGGTTGACACATGTCATTGTATTCCAGTTGCGCAGATCGAGGCTCGTGCTGTTGATCACTGGATTGTCTAGTCCAGACTCGAGTGTTTACAGACCTCCGCCATATAGCTGAGTGCGGCGTTAAACAAAACCCCAACCAACCCAATCCACATACAAGATATCTCCTGAAGAAATCAGTGCAGGTCATCAAGCCGCGCAGAATGATCTCAACAGTAATGTCACGTGATGATACATAGTGTGCTATTGTGTTAATTTATCACATCTCTTTGCTAAAAAATACTTTCACTTTTGTTATGAGTCATATATCTATACATAAATCTGTATACATATTTATAAATCTGAAGTCATTCTAAAATATATTTATATTCCCTAAAATACCTGTTCACCTTAACTGAGAAGCTATGCTTACCAGTGACCACTCTCCATTGTCTATAAGTAAGCTGGGGTAATGAAACAACGATGTTATATAATTGTAGCTTGGGCTTTTGACTTGTTCAAGCAAGGTAACACACTAAGTGATCAGTGCCCAGGTCGGGAGTGAACTGAACGGATTGGCCATGTCGGCAAGTTTAAACTGTCTATTTGAATATACCATGTCGGCATAGAGTGATTTCATGTGAAGGATTCTATGTGTTATTATTCTGAGGAATGAGATGGAGAAGGAACAATTGTATATCCATGTGATAACCAAAGTAAGACTTTTAACATATACCATGATATTTGTTTTGAACAGTTGTATATATGTATAGACTGCCAGTATTAAAACTATTTTAAATTGTTGTGTGATCTCTCCACTCGTAACACTTTGTTCTCATGGAACTACTCTCAAAGCATACATATACCTGTAAATATCTATAGCAAGTAATATTAGTGCAGTATCTATACTTGGGCTGGTTATCCCTACAGATCATAGAGATCATAACAGTTGACTAAATATAGACCGATTATCGACAAATATCAGAAACCTTGAGCAAAATGAGTATATTTCACATCACTGGTGAGTTGTGACATGTTTATGCAAGGAGTATTAACAAAATAGTGTCCTGAACATAATTTAGAAGCAAACTATGAATACCGTCCTAAATTTGTATATTATGTGAGAAAATTGCAACTTTATTCTATCACAAAGGTTAATGTACGATGTTATCGATTACACAATTTTCATATTGATAATCAATACTTTTTCTATCGAAGATATCTCTGATTATCGATTATTTTAGCCAGCCCTAAATTATTCTCTACACTCACATGCAAGTACGTCTATATGACGCATGTACTCCATAAGTATATTCACTCATGTTTGCATAGTCTGAATGTAAATGTAAGGGGGCGGTTGGGTAGTCTAGTGGTTAAAGCGTTCGCTCGTCACACCGAAGAGTCCGGTTCGATTCTCCACAAGGGTACAATGTCTGAAGTCCATTTCTGGTGTCCCTTGCTGTGATATTGCTGGAATATTGCTAAAAGCGGCGTAACACAATACTCACTCACTAATGTAAATGTAAGTGTTTCTTATGTAAGTTGACCCGTGAAGGTCCGGGCTAGAATAGTGATCTTCGATAACCCATGCTTGTCGTAAGAGGCGACTAACGGGATTGGGTGGTCAGGCTCGCTGACTTGGTTGACACATGTCATCGTATCCCAATTGCGCACATCGATGCTCATGCTGCTGATCAGTGTTTTGTCTGGTCCAGACTCGATTATTTACAGACCGCCGCCATATAGCTGGAATATTGCTCTGTGTGCTGCGTAAAACTCAACTCACTCACTCACTCTTATGTAAGTTATTTCATCCTTGTGTTTAGCCGGTTCACATCTGGATATACACAGAGGGACAAAAAGGACAATTTATCTTATATATCTATATTTATTTCCATCACATCGACATTATTTTCCATTGTTCGTCTACTTGCCAACAGGGGCGCCGCCTGTACCAACCAGGAGCTGCAATAAGAAAACATATGTGTGATGTACACATTATATGCATATCATTCTTTCATGTTTAGCTACCCGTGAGGATCCGGGTTGGAACCGATCTTCACTAACCCATGCTTGTGGTAAGAGGCGACTAACGGGATCGGGTGGTCAGACTCGCTGACTTGCTTGACACATGACATCGTATCCCAATTCCGTAGATCTATGCTCATGATGTTTAACCCGGATCTTCATGAGGGGAGACAACCATGGGGTACTGAAGACCAATTTGAACCCGCATCTTCATGAGGGGAGACAACCATGGGGTACTGAAGACCAATTTGAACCCGCATCTTCATGAGGGGAGACAACCATGGGGTACTGAAGACCAATTTGAACCCGCATCTTCATGAGGGGAGACAACCATGGGGTACTGAAGACCAATTTGAACCCGGATCTTCATGAGGGAGACAACCATAGGGGTACTGAAGACCAATTTGAACCCGCATCTTCATGAGGGGAGACAACCATGGGGTACTGAAGACCAATTTGAACCCGCATCTTCATGAGGGGAGACAACCATGGGGTACTGAAGACCAATTTGAACCCGCATCTTCATGAGGGGAGACAACCATGGGGTACTGAAGACCAATTTGAACCCGGATCTTCATGAGGGGAGACAACCATGGGGTACTGAAGACCAATTTGAACCCGCATCTTCATGAGGGGAGACAACCATGGGGTACTGAAGACCAATTTGAACCCGCATCTTCATGAGGGGAGACAACCATGGGGTACTGAAGACCAATTTGAACCCGGATCTTCATGAGGGGAGACAACCATGGGGTACTGAAGACCAATTTGAACCCGCATCTTCATGAGGGGAGACAACCATGGGGTACTGAAGACCAATTTGAACCCGGATCTTCATGAGGGGAGACAACCATGGGGTACTGAAGACCAATTTGAACCCGGATCTTCATGAGGGGAGACAACCATGGGGTACTGAAGACCGATTTGAACCCGCATCTTCATGAGGGGAGACAACCATGGGGTACTGAAGACCAATTTGAACCCGGATCTTCACGGGTCTCAAGTGACAGGGTTCAGTCAGCTCAGTGTTCTTACCTTGGCGTAGTTCGCTTTGAATTCGGCCAGTGTTATTTTACCATCACCTGAAATTGAAATCCAAACACATTGTAATCTAACTTCCTAGATTGTCAAGGGCATTATATATCCATCCATTTACGAGCATCCTGGATCCATTCGCTACCAAAAACATCGCAACTGCATTAATTTGCATATCCCATGCAATATGCAAACTCGTGTTCGGGACTGAGAGATCTCGAGACGCAAAACATTTATATAAATAAATAACTAACAACTAGAGAAATAGGACCAAATTTTATTTAAATCACTAGTGACAACAATCGCAACGTTAATCTCGGCTTGTGGTTACCGTGTATCAAGCCTTCATGACGAGTTCATGACGACAAAAAGAAACAGCGATTCAGTTTAACGTGGGAGGAAATCTGTCTATCTATCTATCTATCTATCTATCTATCTATCTATCCATTAAATAGCACGGCTTCTGTGTCAGTCTATCTATCTTTGTATCTATCTATCTATCTATCTATCTATCTATCTATCTGTATATCCATTAAATAGCACGGCTTTACTCACTGTCTCTGTCAGTCTATCTATCTATGTATGTATCTATCTATCTATCTATTTATTAAATAACATGGCTTCTAGTATACTCACCATCTGTGTCAAACTTGCCCACAATTATTTTGACATCCTTCAAGGTGAGTGCCCCGTCTTTATCAACATCATACAGAGCAAACTGCTTATCAGCGTGGGCGTGGTTGGTGTCTAGTTTATAGTAGTCCTGCTTGGTGATTGAACCATCGCCTTCAACACGAATAGGTGAGTGAGGATATTGTTTTAGCAGAATTTGATGAATTAACGCAAGAGTCACGAAGACAACACGTTATGTACATGAACGATTGGGGTTTTATCTTGGTTTCAGTTATTCTTGTTCCCTGGTTAATGCTCCCAGCAATATTCCATCTCAGTGGCGGAGTTCTTGAGCAGACAATCCAGTGATTGATATTATGAACAAGGATCCACGTCTAGGATGCTTGGGAGAAACAAGGGGGACCCTTTAATGGTAGGACGTGCGTACTTGTTTCCTTTGACCCGTGAAGATCCGGGTTTGGATTGGCCTTCAGTAACCCATGCTTTTCGGAAGAGGCGACTAACGGGATCGGGTGGTCAGGCTCGCTGACTTGGTTGACACATGTCATCGTATCTCAATTGCGTAGAACGATGCTCATGCTGTTGATCATTGTATTGTCTGGTCCAGATTCGATTATTTACAGACCGCTGTCATATAGCTGGAATATTGCTGAGTGCGGCAATAACAACAACCAATCCAAACTTGTATCTTTGTTTAAGCTGTCAGCAATATCTTAGCTATATACGGCAAGGACAGATGAAATTTGGACAGAAAGACACATGCACACCTATACACACAGACACGCGACCACTTTCACACAGACACACGGACACAGACACACAGACAGACGCATACCTAGAAGCACAGACACAGGTACACCTGGACACACGCACACCCGATCACACATACACACGCACACCTTGACATACATACACATGCACACCTAAGCACACAGACGCACGCACACCCAGACATACGCACACCCAAACACACAGACACACGCACACCTTCACACATACACTTGCACACCCAAACACAGACACACGCACACCTTCACACATACACTTGCACACCCAAACAGACATGCACACGCACACCTTCACACACAGACACACGCAAACACAAACACACAGACACACGCACACCTTCACACACATACACTTGCACACCCAAACGCACAGACACACGCACACCTTCACACACAGACACACGCAAACGTGAACACACAGACACACGCACACCCGACACACCAAGACAGACTGTTTGAACAACGTATTACACATGTGTGACTATCACAGTTAGATGTTGTGAATGTGTGTGTACCCACCATCAAGGTCGAACTGATTGTAGTAAGCATTAAAGTTGGCCAGTGTCAAAAAGTTATTTTTGCCAGCATCGAGTTGGTGAAAGACGGTTGTAGCAATGTCGGTCTGGGAGAAGGCAACGCTGCAAGAGAATGAGTGAGTGAGTGAGTGAGTGAGCGAGTTTACTTTTACGCCCCACTCAGCTATATGGCGGCAGTCTGTAAATAATCGAGTCTGGACCAGATCATCCAGTGATCAACAGCATGAGCATCGATATACGCAATTGGGATACGATGACATGTGTCAACCAAGTCAGCGAGCCTGACCACCCGATCCCGTTAGTCGCCTTTTACGACAAGCATGGGTTATTGAAGACCAGTTCTAGCAAGATAAGGAGATATTTCAGATGATTCCAGTTAACTCGGAATCCTGATTAATATAAATCGGAATGGTACTGATGTGAAAGTTTGGCAAAATGTCAAAAGCAATGCTTATTAGTAAGAAATATCTTATACAATATCTGTGCTGGAATATTGCTACAGCGGTGAACATTGCATGACAAATAGATAAATCAATCAACAACGAATCCGTCATTAACAGGCATAGTGTAACAACGAAGAGAAACACTTTTTAGGGATAGACAACTTCTTTATCGCAGTGGAGCGACGTTTCGGTGTAGATCCTAACACCGATATCAAGCAAATGACGCACAACATTATGCACAGGGAGAAATATATACATGACGTCTATTTGACTTTATACAATTGAAGAGGTTGATGTACATTGTGCTTACAAACGAGGCTTGCTGTGATAAGAAATGATTGAAGTAAGTGTCACGCATCGAACTTCGAGCCAAGTGCGTTACTTCATGTTTTTTATGGTTACTTTTCAAACTTTTCAAATAACTTTATTTTATGCATTTTTTATGCACAGTTACTTTTTTTCGTTAGTATATTTCATTTCTGTACAAACTACATTTCTTTATTCGTATTAACTTGAGCATTCTAGTTATCATACATAACAAAACCCAGAACGTTTAAAGGGCACCGATAAATGTTCTGAAAAAAACCACGAAAACATTTAAACAATAGTTGAATATACGCACTTTGCAAATTATGTATATTCTAATGTAAACTTACAAGCATAGTGGTAATTATTACTAAGTTGAGAACTGAACTTTGCCATACCCCAACATAACAGCAACTGCACAGAACGACAGCGGACCCATTGTTGATTATCTGCAATTCAGAACCAATATATACATAAACATATGGTGAGACCTCGTGAATCCAGACGGTACTGGAAGTGGAATTGTCCGGATTAACAAAGGTGCTGATTAACCCATCCTTAGTACTGTGCTATTTATCTATGTGTTCATCAGCGTTTATACTAGTAATCGCTCGGAAACGTGAGTGAGTGAGTGTGTATGGTTTTCAGCCGCTTTTAGCAATAGTCCAGCAATATCACGGCGGGGACACTATACACACATTGTACCCATGTGGGGAATCGAACCCGGACCTTCGGCGTGACGAGCAAACGCTTTAACCACTAGGCTACCCCATCGCCCCCGCCCGGAAAAGAGGGTTTACAATTAGACGGAGTCTGGACTAGACGGGTTTTCTGTATTTGTTGCGCACAATCGACATGAACGAATTTCTCTCAATAAAAAGCTCTGTCCCTTCTGGAAGTTCATATTCCAGCAACTCCCTCTAACCTATGAAAATAAGAAATGTGATGAGTGAATATTGTTGAACGACGCATCAGCAATTTTGCAGCTTTTCGCTGCTATTATGAAAACACAAACATTTGTCGTTTTGGTTATTTTAACAAACGCCTTAACCCCCAGTCCGTGTAGTATTTAAATAAATACGAGTCAGTTTGATTTGGTTGGTTGGTCTGTTGCTTAAAGTCGTCCTCAGCAATATTCCAGCTACCTGGCGGCGCTCTGTAAATAATCGAGTCTTGACCAGACAATCCAGTGATCAACAGCATGTGCATCGATCTATGCAATTGGGATACGATGACATGTGTCAACCAAGACAGCGAGACTGATCACCCGATCCCGTTCGTCGCCTTTTCCGAGAAGCGTGGGTTACTGAAGATCAATTCTAACCCGGATCTTTACGAGAAGAAACAATTTGAATTGGGCATACGAGGACAATTGTCATAGACGCAATTATTATGCGAATATAATATACCTTGTGAGAGGACAGATACTCCTGCAATGCATCCACATGAAGATATCAATAAGTCAGTTTACTTGCTGTGCAAATAGTCACATAAATAAGGCGAATGTTTGTCAACGTGAGCAAACAGATGTCGTTTTGAGTCTGAAATCATTTCGCAGGGAAGACATTCGAACATTATGAAAACATTCCATTTAAAAACAAAACAAAAACAGTCTCGATATCCTAATGAGATCTCTTATATGTAAATGACATATTCCATCCCATTGGAAATAAGGTATCATATATATATATTCGTTTAAGGAATTTTTTTTATCCATGACGAGACGAGCGGGCGCTCTAACCACAAGGATACCCCATCGCCCCTTTAATACTCGAGGTAATATGAACATGCATGATAAGACATACTAATAATAAAAGACGATCTTTCCCCATGTGTGTATAAGATGCATAGTCCATATGGATCCCACATACCACGTGGCTCCCTGCAATACCATGGAGACTTACCTGTTTCCCGAGCCAGATTAAATAGGACGATAACATAGTCTCATTGTCTTTTATACAGGATTACCAGGGTAGATAAGATAAAAAGACAGACCATGGTTTGATTTAATCTGCGGTTCTTTACAAAACCGTAAGCATTCGAATAAGGCGGTGGTCTGTAAATAATTGTGCCTGGTCTAGATAATCCAGTGATTGACATCATGAGCATCGATCTACGCAATGGACATATGAGGACAATTGTCAATCAAGTCAGCGAGTCTGACCACCCGATCCCGTTAGTGAGTGAGTGAGTATGGTTAGTCCAGCAATATTCCAGCAATATCACGGCGGGAGACATCAGAAATGGTCTTCACACATTGTACCAAGCGCATACAAAGTGGGTACCCAGTTCATCCAGACGAAATGTTACTGTTCAAATCGTTCGGACCGAAAAAATCTTTCGCATTAGAAATTTTCCCATTTTGCTTGTATGAAAATAGTACGTACGTGTAACAACATGAGATTTAATTTCGGACAAAGAATGGGTGTTTTTATTCTCATAGTAGAACTGTGCGAGGTAGGACAAACATTTTATACAGCGTCCGATAGAGACTACCAGAGTAAGGCGGCAAGGTCTGGCTGATGCTTTGGCAGCAGATGGCTGGACTAGCGGGTCCTTGTTCGTTCCTCTTTGTCCTTGGCTTGCCTTCTGCCGGTCTGACCGCGCTCTTCCCGCTGTCTGTCGGCTCACCCTTTGCTTGCCTATCCTTTCTGCTTTTTCTAAATGCTGATGGACGACTAACAGCCTGCATAGGTCTCATTGATATAATCTTCTTAGCTGGTTACAGTCTGACATATATCTTACAAGTGTACAGGATAAATAATGTTTCACAAAGGTAATGCCCAAGATAAAGGATCCAGGGCCTAGATTTTCGAAACGTTCGCAGCAGAAGTTCTTAAGCCCATTCTTAAAACATTGGCTATGATCAAAGTTAAGAATTCTTAGGGCTACGAACGTTTCGAGAATTTAGACCCACGTTAACAAGGTTCCGCGCCATCTTGATGCAGAATCCAGGTACGTCTTGAATGTATTGAGAAAGATTTCCCCCTAATTTGGATGAATTGTGCTTCAGTAAAAAAGTAATTTCCGCGTGTTAGGATAACATTTCAGCTAAGGGACCGTTCATAATTTATGGCTAGGGGGGTCATGATGATTTTAATGGAAAAGCATTTACAATGCGAATGAACCCCCCTAAATTTATGTACAAAATAAGTGACCCCACCCGCAATTCCCATAATTATAAGCAATTTTTATGTACAAAAATGATGACACACACCCCTATAGTTTGGCATGAAATGCATGTGGACAAGGTTTTTTGTAAATATCTCTTCATCCAATGACCCAATCGATCTCAAACTGTGCAAGTGGATGTTTTGTCAGACAACCTAATCAAATTGTAAATCACCGATTTTATGCATTTGTATCAAAGAATCTGTCTATGTAACTGTCAACAAAATAAACAGCAGAACGCAGAAGGCTTGCAGAGGGAGGGGGCCAATGACCTGTAACAGCGGCAGTGTTGGGTCATAAAGGTCAACGTTCGTCAATGTAGGTCAGCTTTGCTGATGACCCTGATGTCAAAAGTATCTAACTTTGGATGCCTACCTTTTTGTACAAGGTTTTGTTTCTTGGTTGTTGGTTTATTTTTCACAATTGTTAGCACGATGTTCTTTTTCATGCCAAGAGCAAAAGTTGTACGTTTCATGTAATCCGACACCTTATAAATCGGTTTGCTACGTTTGCTCTCTTTTAAAAAAAAATTAAACACATTGCCAATTAAACGTTTAGCATCATCTCAATAAGCTTTCATGATGACAGCTAGAAGTAGTCAATGTGAATGATCCAAACGGTCTATCACTGAGCAGTGCACAGGTAACTATCATGAACTGCAAGTGCATTTACCTTTATGACCCAACACTACCGCTGTTATATTATATATATATTAGATGCAGTAATTTAATACGGCTGTTGAATGTGGCATGTATAATGGAATTGAATATAACGAAGGGTTATGTCCTTTTTGTAAAACCAGAGGTCAGCAATATATAGAAAATGGATATCATGTACTATATATTTGTAATACCTATGATATACTTAGAAAGAAATATATAACTAAGTTCACTAAAGAACCACTTACTCATTACTCTGTCGTAAATCTTTTGCAAAGCAAAAGTGATGCTGTCATATACAGTTTTGGCCTATACTTATACCATGTACATAAAACTGAACTGCAGGACATAGAGCTGCAAAGTTGTATTGCGCACCCACTAAACACAATGTCAGTCTGACTGTATTATGGGCGAGGGCCTCTTTCCTGAATATATACTGTCTGTCTGTCTGTATTACAGATAAGATTATGTTGTGGTAACAAAGTTACATTCAAATTGTTACATTGTCAAAAGATGTCATTATTGATTCTGTTGAATAAATGTTACTGTTACAAAAGTTTTATGACAGATGCTCAAAACAAACTTGTTAATATAAATTAATAAATGTGATTACAGCTAAATCTGTAATATTTCATCAACTGTATATTTTTTTAATACACAGATCTTTTACAATTTTATAGATATCAATGTTTTGAAATATACACAGGTAGTAAAAATGCTCAGAATTATGATATGCTGAAATTGTGAGTATTTCCCTTTAAACAATGCCAGAATTTCTAACAAGCAGTGAACTAGATCAATATTGCATGGTTTTGTTTCTAAATGATTAATAACAATACACAAAGTGTTATGAACAGAGAACATATTTGATGTATATATGAAATATATACCTCACATTATATGTTTATCAATTAAACAATGAAAGAAGTTGATCTTGTTGTATTTTTCTGAATGCATTAAACTTGATATGATTTCATCTAGCTTGATGTTAAGAATAATGCTGATTTTTTTGGTAATTTAAATAATCAGAGAAATGACTTCTAACATAGTAGTACAGAAACTATGAAAGAAGGTAATCAAAGAAGAATTTATCTGCCTTGTCTTTCACCCTTTGCCAGCTCTCAGGACAAAAAGTCAATTCTCTCGAGATGGTGTTGCCTTTCAGACCAGACAAAGAAATCACACCATTTCAAACCAGTCATTGCCAGTTGCATCTGGATCTGATGATAGTAGTTACATGTTGCCTTAAGAGCAAGCTGGCCATTGTCCTTCAGGCTGAGGTACTGCAGATCACAGAGGTCCTTATTCCGCAGGTCTGGACACTTCACCTCCAGTAGACCAAATGGAGGGTTGGAGCTGGGGTCTAGCACCTTCCGGTCTGGAGAAGCAGCCATCCATGCTGCTCTGGGACTTATTACAATCCCACAGGGATATATATTCACATTGCCCTCCTTTAGCTGAAATATCAACATACAATTTTAAATATAGGCACATGTGTACACTTCTTTATACTTATTATGTATGTTGAGATTACTCTCCTTAATCCAAAATATTAACGTTCAATTTTAATTACATATACACATGTACATTTATTCAGTTGATCCATTTACACATATGACTTCATCAACCTGAAATGTTTACCTTCCCATATGCCTCTACTGCAAAAGGCTCATTGGCAATGCCCTCTCTCATTGCCTCTGTGAGGACGGTCCTAGAAGAAGATTTAAGTCTTTCTGCAAACTTCTCTGGTTCTGAAATTGTATTATTATTTTTTTTTAATGTAATGGATTTGGGTGCAACATTTTCTTTTAATGAAATTAATGACATAAAACTTAATGTTAATAAGGTTTATTTTCTGTTTACCTTTTTTACGCTTTGAAATTTCTCCAATTTTGGAAGCTGTGACCCTGTGGCGTCTCAGACGAACCCACTTCTTGTCCTGCGCCTGGAGTCTGGTAGCCTTCTCTATCTCCACAGCCTCATCCTGGCTGACACTGAGTGAGTCTAGCAGAGTTGTCTGACTCTCTGTCAGCACCCTGCTGTAGTTGTTCTCTCCTGTCTGCTCAGCACTAATGGGTAAATCAGGATAAAATCCATCTACAATGTTTATCAGATAATTTCCAGATAATTTCTGTTGATGGCTGATGGTACTACCCTTAGGAAACAATCCAAAATTAGTTCTTACAAAAGGAGGTGCTGGCTCATCAGTCTGTGGAACTGTTGTTAATAGTGATAGATCAGGATGATTTAACTTCAGAGATGAAAAAATGGTTCCAATGGTGCAAGGGTAGACCTAATGGGGTTGTAAAGGGTTGATTTCACTGGCCTGTCCTCTCCATCACTCTTGTATCCAGAAACCTTTATCTCTGGTACTGACACCGGATATTTTGTCCTGGATAGGGATGTGCCATGTCTGTAGCAGTATCCTGTGGGGTGGACTTCATTCCTCTCTGTTTACAGTGGGCCACCAGATATAAAACACCTGTGTAAGAAAAACATATTTTCAGGAACAACGGAATCAGATACTCAGTTTAATATATACAGACATTACCTATTATTCATTGAAATAGGCTAATGACATACCTGTCACATGACCACAACACTGGCTCTGACCTATGGCACATCTGCAGCTGGCGCTGACCACTTTAACCACTGGACTGCTCTCTAAGGTGACCTGCATTTCATAGTACATGTACTTGAGTGGAATGAATGTACTAGGCTATCACAATTTAACATAAATGAGATATTTTACAAAATATGTGTTCCTATATTATATATACATACATAATATATATATATATATATATATATATATATATATATATATATATAATCTATATATATTCTGATATCAGACTGATAATATTTTTTCTTGACAATACTATGAACCCAACTTACAGTTATATTATGTGGCGAGTCATTTTTCTTCATGGAACGGTAACAACGAGCTGTTATTACGCAAGATGTGTCATCGCATGATGCTGCCAAAAAACCCGATTACAGGTGAAAAAATATACAAGACAAGGGAATAATATTACACGAAATAACATCATTTGAATTTTACATAGATCTAATAACTATCTGACGGTTACGGCCTGGGTTATTCACATGATGGAACTTAGGTTAAAGTAGT